AGAATCCATTTGCCAGGCAGTTACCATTGCCACCCGAAGGCGCAAAGAAAAGATACCAGCACATAAAAAGAAATCCAAATAAAAACGTCAAAAATAAGCCGAGCCTACACCTCTGCTTGCATATTGGAGAGTAAGCTAGAATAGACCTGCACGCCAGGCCGGAGGATGTCGAGTCTCTTCCCCAAAATAGAATTATCCGATGATTTCGAAGCGGAACTTGCAAAGACAGTATCAAATTGTAATGAGAGTATGAAACTGGCATGACAGTATCCAATTGGCAATACAGTAACAAATTGGCCAGGCAGTATCCATTTGCCAGACAGTTACCATTGGCAATCCGATGGATATTGTCCTCGGAACCCTCTCCTAACGCGTCGAGACGGGCAGGCTACCTACAGGTAACACTGTTTCATGTGGAACACGTGTTGGAGGGTCTGTAGTGAGCCCGGGTGCCAGGTTTACTGCAGGTGACACTGTTTCATGTGGAACACGTGTTGGAGGGTCTGTAGTGAGCCCGGGTGCCAGGTTTACTGCAGGTAACACTGTTTCATGTGGAACACGTGTTGGAGGGTCTGTAGTGAGCCCGGGTGCCAGGTTTACTGCAGGTGACACTGTTTCATGTGGAACACGTGTTGTAGGGTCTGCAGTGTGCCAGGAGTACCGGTGATAGATGTGGGAACTTCTGTAGCACAGCCACAGGAGACGAGTTGGGCCCGACCCAAGCAGACGGAACGACCCGACTGGGCAGGACGGGAGAAGCTGCCAATGCCACTTAGCGTATCTAGGCTTAGTCTGATGGTTATCCTGGCGTTTCTAGCTAGCTGCCTTGGGGTTTAGCTGGTGTGTTACGCCGAAGGGCGGTTATACCGGCTATACAGATACAGAAGCTGGTGTGTTACGCCGAAGGGCGGTTATACCGGCTATACAGATACAGAAGCTGGTGTGTTACGCCGAAGGGCAGTTATACCGGCTATACAGATACAGAAGCTGGTGTGTTACGCTGAAGGGCGGTTATACCGGCTATACAGATACAGAAGCTGGTGTGTTACGCCGAAGGGCAGTTATACCGGCTATACAGATACAGAAGCTGCTGTGTTACGCCGAAGGGCGGTTATACCGGCTATACAGAGACAGATACAGATACAGATTTTCCCTGACATCATTGTTAAACTCTTCAGCATGTACAGTCCAGAGTAACTGGCAATGTCGCTTTGCGTATCGAGGCTTATTAGTCTGATAATCATTCTGATGTTTCCAACTGTAGCATGCCTTGGGGTTTTCTACCAGGGAATGTTACGATTTTCCCTGACATCATTGTTAAACTCTTCAGTATGCACAGACCAGAGAAGCTGGCAATGTCGCTTAGCCTTAGGCTTCAGAATCTGATGATCAGCCTGATGTTTCCAACTCCAGCTGCCAGAGGGTTGCCTACCAGAGTATGTTACGATTTTTCCTGACAACATTGTTGAACTCTTGGGTATGTATAGTCAGGAAAAGCTGGCAATGTCGCTTAGCCTTAGGCTTCATAATCAGGAATCTGATGATACGCCTGATGTTTCTAACTCCAACTGCCTTAGGATTTCCCTCTGGGCTGCCAGAGAATGTTACAATTTTCCCTGACATCATTGTTGAACTCTTCACTATGTATAGTCTAGAGCTGTGAAAACTGACAATGTCACTTACTGTAGGCCCTGATAATCAGCCTGGTGTTTCTAACTCCAGCTGCCTCAGGCCTTCCTACTGGTAAAACGAAGAAATCAGAAACTGTTACGATTTTCCCGGGCTCTTCAATACAGCCGACGAAGCTGGCAAAATCGCTCAACTCTTCGCTTCATGTTCAGGCACAGGTTGTGAGGAGGGAAAATAGCCCTAACAGTTTGTGACGGCAGCTGCCTGAGGTTTGACTACCCGAAGACGATGATACAATTTTCCCTGGAAACATAGTTCAGAACAGCCGGGGAACCTGGCATGTCGCTTGGCCAATTTTCGCTTCAGGCTCATGTTCGGAGGAAACATCATCCTCGTTTTCTGACTGTAGCTGCCTTAGGGTTGCCAAACAGAAAATGTTACAATTTTCCCTGACAACATTGTTAAACTATTCAGAACAGCCGGAGAACCTGGCATGTCGCTTACACAATTTTTGCTTTAGGCTCATGTTCGGAGGAAAAATCATCCTGATGTTTTCTGATTGTAGCTATCTAGGGCTGCCTACCAGAGAATGTTAGGAGAGAAAAACATCCTGACATTTCTGAGTTGCCTTTTGGGAGCAGCTGCCTACCAGAGAATGTTCACATGTTACAGTTTTCCCTTTCCCAGACAACATTGTTAAACTCTTCGCTACAGTGGCGACAACTGGAGATGTCGCTTGGCCAATTTTTGCTTCAGGCTCATGTTCGGAAGAAAAGTCATCCTGATGTTTTCTGGCTGTAGCTGCCTTAGGGTTGCCAAACAGAAAATGTTACAATTTTCCCTGACAACATTGTTAAACTATTCGCTACAGTAGTGACAACTGGAGACGTCGCTTGGCCAATTTTCGCTCCAGGCTCATGTTCGGAGGAAAATCATCCTGATTGTAGCTGATTGTTTTCTGATCGTAGCTGCCTAAGGGTTGCCTACCAGAGAATGTTAGGAGAGAAAAACATCCTGACATTTCTGAGTTGCCTTTTGGGGTTGCGTTCCAAAGAATGTTACAATTTTCCCAGACAACATTGTTAAACTATTCGCTACAGCGGCGACAACTGGAGATGTCGCTTGGCCAATTTTCGCTTGAGGCTCCTGTTCGGAGGAAAAATCATCCTGATGTTTTTTGACTCCAGTTGCCTAAGGGCTGCCAAATAGAAAATGTTACAATTTTCCCTGACAACATTGTTAAACTATTCGCTACAGTCCAAAAAACCTGGAGCTTCAGGCATAAGTTAGAAGGGAAAACCATTAGGATGTTTTCCGACTGTAGCTGCATTTTTTAAGCTGCCTACTGGAAGATGTTACAATGTTCCCTGACAACATGCATTTTTAGTTAAACTCTTCCGCACAGTGAAGCTGACGATTGCCGGTTAGCCCCCCTCAGTAAAATGTAGCGTGCAGTGTTCAAGTGGTTCGCGGTTCTCTCTGGATCACGAGCTTTGGAGGTTCTAGTGCCGGCCTTGTCCTGAACGCCGGTGTGCACGCTATAGGCTAGCCTCCACCAGGCCTTTCTACGGGAATACGGGTCGTAGAATTCGGCAAAAAAGAGAGTAAAATCGGCCAGGGGAGTCCGGCCGCGGGGAGGTAAGGTTCTTTCCCTCCGAACTGCGCGGCCAGTCAAACCTACAAGGCGGCCAAACTCCCCTGGCAAATATTCTCCTATATATACTATAGCCAGCGTAGTTAGTCTGGTAGAGACTAGCTATAGGCAGTGTTTCCACGACTGTTGGAATAGATTAAGCCGCCCGGTCTGTGTTTGAAGGACAGACACGTCTCAAGCATGTTAAGGACCCGCCAGACAGACTACAGTACTTGAAAAGAGTGGTGCTTAGCCCATTGTGCGATCAGTTCCTTACACAGCTTACACTCCGAGACGTACTTGGCATATTAAGCTTCCTGGTGGTTTACAAGTTACGTCTCATGAACTATTCAGACATACCATTGACTGAATCGTAAGGGTTTTCAATTCCAACAATGAGTACCCTATTACTACATTCTAAGCTGACTCTTGGGAAACAACAAGATTTAGTGTTACATCGTGTGTGTGGCTGTGTGCTCATGCTTGTAGATATGCCTTGGTGAATGCTCTGCTTAGCAAATTGACCCTTATTCGTCATCCATTCCTTCATTCATTCATTCCCAAATCGTAAGATTCTTTTTTGTTATACTGAATATCCTGCCATGCGTTTGGCTCTGGTAACTGATGAGTGATGGTTGGTGTAAATGATGATAGCTATAACAACGATATAATTTAGATCGTTAGAACTACCTAACTGCATACAGGACAAATAGAGATATAGTAATATAGAGGAAGGCGCGCCTTTTCCAAGGATATGTGAAACTAAACCACACCCAGACACATATTGCCATGTGTTCCTGCCAACACGACAAGCCTGGAAATTGTGAAAATATCGCTCCAAATTTAACGCGACGAGCCGTGATTAACCGTAAACTAAAGCCAGAATTGATCCCTTATGGTCCGTACCGACCTGTGACGTCGCCTGGCCAGAAATATAGCGGCGCGGTTCGGGCGTGAGACCGCGGCCTAACCAGGAACAGGTGGTCGCAGCCTGCAGGCAGCATGTAGCGGAGTCAGTTGTCGTTATAACATAGCTGTATCACGTATAGGGACTGTGCTGTAGAGGGTAACGCCTATTTCTGTTGTATCTAGAACCGTGCATGATCAGACGTGGTTCTGGATACGATAGTCGGGCCCCACTGGCGTCTGCTCACTACAATATAGCTGAATCACGGGGAGTGGACGGTGGAGGGTAACACCTACGTCTGTTGTATCTAGAACCGTGCTAGATCCAGGTCCATGGTCTGACACGATTCTTGATACGCCCTAAAGGCGTCATGTTGATGGATCACTTATTTTTTTAAATCTATTCACATATATTTAACGAGTATTAGGGAAAAAGCACAATTGCGTATATAAAGCCTTCTACTCGAGACCATAAATATGAGACCATAAATATTAAACAAGAGTACAAGATAATAACAAATACATAAGTGGATGAAATAAAGATGAATGTAAATAAGTTGGTGATCTATCAATTACGAAAAAGACAGGGAAGGCAGGTAGCAACACCTACCTGTTTGTTTGTTTGTTTGTTTGTTTGTTTGTTTGTTACTTACCAGCCCGTGACAGTTGCTAATGGCGACGCTGGAATGCTGAAGGTCCCGGATGGTGCCGGTGTACCTGTTTTTTGTTAGTTTGTTTATTATCTTGTCGTGACTTGCTAATGCGACGCTGGAATGTTGCAGTTGTTAGTTTGTTTATTAGTGTGTACTTGTTTGTTTGTTTGTGTACTTACCAGTCCGTGACAGTTGCTAATGGCGACGCTGGAATGCTGAAGGTCCCGGATGGTGCCGGTGTAGTGGCACGCCGCGTGCCGTGACGTCACACCCCTGCGTGATGACGTCACCGTGCCGTTGTGTCCCCACCTCTCCACCACATAACCCGCCGACACCAAGCCGCGGTTTCTGGTCACGTTCAAGTGAAACGTTCTGCCGTAAGCGGCTATCATGTAAAATATCTGCTCGTTCTCATCATCCTGTTGGTCGGTTCCTAGTTTGCTGAGCCCGCGTCTGGTTCTAGTTCTGGGCTTGTTCATGACTCTGAAGGACGTGAGTTTGCCCGTGTGGTCCACCCTCCGCGGTATGACGGTCTGGTAATCCTCCAGGTTCTCCAACAGGTCCGCTGGGGAGGGGAGGGAGGTGTGAACGGTTAACCAGATCAGCAGACATACAGCGAGAAGAAGTTGAACACTCTGTCTTAGCTCAGTAACTAGAACACTTTGTATTAGCCTAGTATAGAACCCTTGTGTGTTCCTTATGTATGCTTTCTACACATTTGTTATGTGTCTGTTAAGTCTTGACCTGTACCTAGCCCATCGTGGCATGAATGTACAATAAAGGTATTTCAGATTCAGTATTCAGATATACCATTGACTGAATCTAAACGGTTTTCAGTTCCAACAATGAGTACCCTATTACTACATTCTTAGCTGACTCTTGGGTAATCTCCAAGCAGACGTTGATGGCCGTTTTTTTTGTCGCTACCCCCACCAACCGGCGACCTTCTCTGGCTAATGGATACTGCCTGGCCAATTTGATACTGTCTTTTTGCCACCGAGAAGGATCTGCTTGGAGCTTACAGCAGCAGGTCCGCTGAGGCGGGAGACATGAGCGGTATAGCAGATCAGCAGACAAACACAAATATACAGGCTGGCGGAACACAGGATTAGGGCTTGTTACGGGGGAGGACAGGGAGTAACCGGTTCGTGCAGGGGGCAGGAGACTGCAGATATTGCTGATCAAGACGTCAGAAGGGCCAAATTTCCGTTAAACAACATTTCTACAACGTTAGGGCTAGGGGGGCGGGGTGCATATAGTTGGGAATATGGGGGTATACTAAAGGTTAGGGAGGGATGTATGTAGTACATCGTGCAGTGGGGTATGCTATAGAAGGGAATGACTTATGAGTATGGCTTATTAAGGCGTCAAAAGGGTCAAATTTGTGTTAAACAACATCCCTAGTACAGTGTTATTTGGAGTGCATATATGATATAGTAAACGTTTGGAAATCGTGTAGGGGAGGGGTCTACTATAGTAGGAAAGGAGGTAACAAGACGACGGAAATGCTAGATTCTTGCAAAACAACATATATCTAGCTCTAGTACAACATCAGAAAACATTCTCATCGACAGGAACAAGTGCAAGAACTCAAAACGTTTGCTTGCCGAAATATTATAGAAATTTTGCCGAATAATTTAAATTGGATCGTCGATAGGCACCAAATTTCGCTGTCAAATTGTCATCTCTATTTGGCGCAAATCTCGGCAATATTGCAAGCAAGTCAGGTGCAGACAGAGTGACGTAGTTTCGCCAGACTCTCTTGGGGCCAGACAGACAGGATCAGTATACATCAGTGGGCCAATGGAGTCATCAGGCTAGATATCCATGGCCTGCTAACACGTCTGGTCATAACTTATCGCCGTAAGTAGAGGGTCTGCATGCTCTTTTCCTTAAGGCGTAGGCGGCCTCTTTATAATTTCCCGTAATTCGTAGGGAAGTCATTTTATTTACCGTTATTCGTAGTGAGGAGGCGAAAATTTAGCGTAAAACGTTGCCAGCCTTCCGGAAATTTAACGTAAAGCGTTGCGGGCCTCCATAAATTTAGCGTAAAGCGTAATCAGGACCCCCCATGCAGACCCTCTAAGTAGGCTGACGTCTGTCTCTGATCCAGCCCCAAGAGAGTGTGTTACTGTTAGACTTTTTGTAGAGATCGGAACGAATTTGTGATTTTTAGATCGCTACCATATGATACTCCACTGGTTTGCTGGTAAATAGCAGAAATTGGGCAGATAGACTGAACAATATGCCAGAGGATTTTTTTTGCAGAAATTTTGTGTCCAAAACCGTGTCTATCTAGTTCTGTGCCTGAATGGGTTAGGGTTAGGATCGGGCACGTTACTGGCCAATGGGTCTAGACCTTTTAGCTGAGTGGTTAGAGCGTCAGCGTACGTGCCCGGGTTTGGTCGTGGATTCGAACCCCGGCCCGGGACCAGGTTTTTTTTAATCTGTTTCTACTCGCTCCTATAATTCTTACATATAGAATGGTTTATTTGACATTTCCCTCACATATGTCACACTTGCAGTCCTAAGACTGAATTATGGTGACAGTACATACATACATTATCACAGATTTGTACAATTATTACTAAAGGTTAAAAGTTTTAATTACATAGACATCAGTACTCACCCACAGTCCTTGTCTGCTCGGCGGACGCAAGCTGCACACAGTTCCTGACGAGACTCAGTAGTACACACACAGTCAGTAAGGTCCAAATTTCCATAATTCCGCGCGGCCGGTGGGTTAGAGCCGTCCCCTCCCCGCCAGGCTAGCGGGTTGCTGCAGCTCCTATCTCCCGGCTAGGCTGTTTCTCCGGCCGGGCGCCATCCCGAGCTCTCCCCGGTACAAACTCCGTAAGGTAACGCCCTTCTCTCACAGTAATCACACACACGCACACAGACGGTAGCTCCTGCTGCTGTTACTGTAGTGTTAGCTCCACGGCAGAGAAGCAGGAATCAGAGAATCAGGAATCCAGCCGCCGCATACACGTGTCTGTACTGGGAAACATCAGAGAGCCGTTAATAGGGCTACTAACACACACACACACACACACGCAGAGAGACGGTAGCTCGCTACTGGTGGTTACCTCCACGGACTCAGGAATCCAGCCGACGACACGTGTCTCTGTACTGGGGAACATCAGAGGGGCGTTAGTAAGGCTGACCTAGGGCGCCGCGCCTTCCCTAGTGACAGGTGGCAGCGAGGTGCTCTCTCTTAGCGCGTACAGACCCGAGCAATCCACCCCCGGACGGACCTACAACTCAATCACTGATCAGTCTATACAAAACACGTGGTACTACTACGTCTGAGGGTAGCCTGAAACCCGGGCTGCACAGGCTAGCTACTCGGCACAAGGGCTAACATGTACCCAAAGATAGTTTCAGCGAGCACAGACCGAAGCAACCCACCCCCGGACGGACCTACAACTCAATCACTGATCA